CTCCATCAGTTTCACTGCAGCCTGGCCGCTCTCCTGATCATAATGCCTTGAATTGTCGGGATGCTTTAACTCTGACAAACTGCCATACTTTAGCTTACTGTATTAACCAGGTCTATGCAAATACAAAATATCAGGTTATTTGTGTCAACAGTCACTGTTCGATCTTCAAGCGCAGGCAGATCATTTGCAAAGCAAAATATTGGCTTTATAAGTGAAGCACTTTGTTTGCTGCAGAAAAAGCTGCAATTTACTGGAATCAGTCAGATACTCTGGGGGCCAGACGCCTCATGGATTCTTCCCTGGAAAACCTCTACAGCCAGGAAAAGTGGTCTGCCACATTACTGTCTCCTCGTCCCTCCCCATAATGCTGCTTGATGTAACTCCTAAAAATTGAGTGTCTGGTTATACAGAAAAGTGATTCCAGGTTTTCCTAGCATGTTTTGGGGAAAATCACATTTTTAATAGGTTAATGAAGAAGAGAGAGTTTTGCTTCAGAATACATGGACATGATACATATGTAGAAGTCAAATCAGGCAGATAAAGTGTTTTAGTGTTTTTAAAGTGCTGTGTGTGAGTGCTCCCAGAGTAAGAAAGAGGGAGGAGGAGCTGGGCTTGGCTCCTTGTAGGGGCAGGGAATAATCTGTGGGAGGCATTCCTGGAATGTAAAAAAAGCAGCTGGATTACATATTCTGGTTCCCGGCATCCCCACACACACTGCTAACACACACAGAGGCGCAGCTCTTAAACCATGTGTACACTTTAAATAGTACCTACATCATGGCCGGTACATTTAGTCAAACATCAACTCTACTTACTTCCGTAGAGGCCTGTGAGTCATTAAAAGGCCTCCTTAATAATGACTTACAAACCCCATTTTCCCCCCTTTTTATTTGCAATGTGAACAGTAATACAAACACAGTATCACCACTGCTGTTAACAGAAACAAGGTTGGACCTGTTCCACTCTAGTGTGACACTGGGCCACCTGGACCTCAAACTGCTAAATGGAAGTAAGCCATTATTTTTATTTTATTTCAGAACAATGTCAGTGAAAATGTTTTTTTCTAGCAAATACATATTATCATTATATACAGTTGTTATAGATTTGGAACATACAGTGGTACCATGACTGGGGGAGCATGGGTGCAAATAAACCATATGCTGTTTCTCGTTGCTTGTTGCCATTAACATGATCTTGTTCTTTGACATAAGAGTGGGAATGTTATCCAGCATCACTCAGTCCTAATTAATCAGCAGCTTTCTGAAATATTGCCAACATTCTCCATCTTATCCTGATGACTACTGTGTCTCCAAATCTCCCTCTCGACAGTGTTGGTACTCTGTGTTCACACCCTGATTGCCAATCACTGATTCGTACCCTGAATTGATATTTTGCTTCCCTCCATTAGCAAACATATTAATAGTTGAAGATACCAGAGATGGAATAAATAGTGGACTAGTTCCTACTAGATAAATCTTCCCTGCTCTGTGAATTCAGGCAGCCTTGAATTCTTATTCACGCTCTTCTACTAAAGAGAGAACTGGACTCAGTCAGAAACACACCACATCATTAAATGCCTTGAGTTGTGAAAATTACGAGTGTCTCAGGGCCAACAAAGCTGATAAGTGTGCACATGCATACGTAATTCGTGTGCACACTCTGATGCCCGAAGGCCAGATGTGATGGCAAAGCAGCTAATGTCTAACAGGTTCCAGTTAAAATACAACTAACAAATCAGAAATCGGAAGAGTACAGACATACATGCTCACACACTTACACAACTTTTTCCAAGAGCATGGGTGTGTCTTTATGTCAGTGTTGCGTGAAATTTTCGCAACTCACAGTCTTCCCCTAATTCAGGTCTGTCTCTGAACATTTGTGGTTCTGAAATCATACAACATTGTCAGCCAAACTGTCTTTCTGCTTAAAATCAGCACTTCTCTGTGCTGCCTGTGAACACAGTGGAACTTCCTTTAGAGCAATAAATTATTTTATTGCTGACAGAAACGCAGAAGTATAAAAGTTATTGTGAAGCCATTAAAGGGAACTCTTCATGGACTTGGACTTCAAGCTTCTTCTGACAAAAAACTCTTATTATAATTTAAAATTATACAAGGAAAAGTATATAAATAAAATTACACACATATGTCCATGTTACCAGATATGTGTGCTGTTTGTGTGACGTGTATGTTCACTGCTTTGTCGTGGCAAAGAAGCCCAAAATTAGTGTGAATTACTTTTCCACTGCTACTGCTGCTGCTGCCCCTCCTCCCTCCGCAGATGTTAACAGCTGCTTTTAAGTTGCTGCAGGGGCAGTCCAAGGGTTTCTAGAAATAAGGAAAACTAGTTTGTCCCCTTCCCCCTCTCATCCTTATGAATCAACACTGTGGACCTTCTGGAGTCTGCGATGTGTACATCTCCTTAGGCATACTGTACATTCATGAGCAAACATACATTTTAGGGGAATAGCAGTGCCGTTTGTCATCTGCAAGAGTTTCTGTTTTGATTTGCTGGTATCACCATACTTGGAGTGAGACTGTTACAACATCTACTTTTAGATTCTCTTGGATGCTTTGACCATGGTATTATTAATAAGAGGATTAAAGGTATAAATGAACAGAAGGACTCCTGATTTTGTACTTCTGGGATTTTTTTTTTAACTCACTGAAGAAAGCTCTTTGGGTGTATGGGCTTAAAATCACTGACAGATCTAAAGAGCATGAGTGTGAGTTCACTGGGTCAAGCCTAAAATATTTCTTCTATTTGTATGAGACTTCCTCCTAGTGGTGAAATTGGATAATTACACCTTGCCACGTGTTTCATGGAGGGAAGAAATAAATAGTTTCCCCTGAGATGTTTCTTACTTAGAAGACTAAAACTTATAAATACTTCCAAAACTTTAGACTCAAACTCACTTATTGGGATTTCTTCTTGTTGGCCTCCAGCTGTTAGGAATACAATCTAATGGAGTAACATCATCAGCAACTAACTTTTCAGTTCTGATAAATGTGCCAATAATGCTGAGTAGTTGTTTATATTGAAAATAATTCTTTAAAGTTATTTGT